GAGCACCGGTGGCTTACAGGCCTTCACCCGCTCCCCGCCGCGTTAGCTGCTGAGGCGCAGAGTTGTCAATACGTTAATAAACAACGAGTAAAAAAAACTAGAGACTTGAAAGCCAAATTTAAAGGAGAGAGTTTAAGGTGAAGGCTTGCGGCGCTGTGTTGTCACTGACCCGGGGAAGGCAGACTTCCCTGCGAGGCAGGGCTGACCGGGAGTACGGGTCTGGGCCGCCGGGAGGAGACGCGTGGGCGCGTTACTTCGGCATCCACCAGTGCTGTGCTTCGTCACCTTGCCTGTCAGATGGTTTCTGGTTTTCTTGCCTATTTCAAGATTTTACCCTAAACCCTTTGCTTGCAGCCCTGCTTATCGATCCCCGCATCTCTCACTGTCCAGCTGTACTTACTGCTTTTTCTGTCCCAGGCCATTTGCCTCATGGATTCTTCACTCTGTGTTCTTCCCCCTGCCTTCTTTCTGCTCCTTGTGACCTAACCCCCCTCCAGCACAACCCCTGGGTTATCTGACATAAACCTCAGATGCCAAGAGCATTCCTACAGGCGTTGTCGAGCCAGGCGCTGAAGAAAATGTGGGAACTGCTTGATTGTACAAGGGCGAGGTATCGCCCATCGGCAGGTCAGCATTAGTTACCTGTGTGGAGGCTCTTACTGCACAGATCAAGCTGTCTTTTTTTGGTCATTCTTCCTATAAATATGCTCTGATGAGCTTTTTCTTCATTCTAGCCTGCAAATACTAATATCTGTGCAGTCTGCAGACTTTCTGAGCCTCCCTTTTTGAGGCAATTTGAGAACTTAAGGAGGAGTACATTTGCAGGATAGTTTTTAGTAAGAAAATATTTGCTGTATGTAAGTTGGGTATGTGATATTTAAATTTTTCATGCTAGCGCTCATAAAAATGTCATGCTTGAGTACGGAACTGAGACTTATAGATGCATCAGGAGAAAAAATGGAGCAAAAAACCTGATCATTGTTTTAAAGGTCCTACAACAAATAACAGTACAAAGTGATTTTAGTCTTTTTTTTCTGTTAGAAGAGGAAACCGGTGTCCTTGGCTTTAGAAGATGATAATCATCACGATGTTGGTTTCCTCAAGCATAGGGATACCTCATACATACTGTTCATCAGATCTTGAGAAAATCAGTCCTTGTGTGTCTGTTCCAGCTGGTAAACTGCCACTGATGCTGCTTTTGTTTATAAAGTGCTTTGAGATGTGATGATGGAAGGGCATTAAGTAAACCTTTCAATGCAGATGAGGGGGAGGATGGCAACAAGTTGCTAAAACTTGTGCTTTATATGAGGTGGTTCAATGACTGGACTTAGAACTTTTGCTTTACAAATTACTGATAACAGTACAATAATTAGTGACGGTCTTAAACTGACATGCTCCTTTCCTACAGGTCTAAGCTTTAAAAGAAGCCTTGTATTTTGTATTCCAGTTGAGAATTGCCCCCTTAAAGGCTTTTATGTCTGCGTGACTTAAGGCAACTGAAGTGATAGTTATGTTGTGTTTTGTTTTCCAGAGATGTAAGAAGGTGAACACAATGGCTGGTGGTTTCAATGTATATTGCCTTTTTGTGTTGTTTCTTTTTCTGAACTGTCATTTCAGGAAAATGATCTCTATAACTTTCATTTTGATTTGGATTTGATGTCTTGGGACTCGGATCTTTGGAATATTACAGGCCATGCTTATACAGGTAACTAACCTTCTGGGATTTTTGTAGTTGTGACTCTTGCCCCCTACCACACAATAGGGAGCTGTTATAACTTTAGAATAGCGGTAACTTACGTGAAACTATTTGATGCCCTACAGCGAAGTCAGGCTGTGTTTCTGTAGGATGGGTACAGCTGGTGAGGACTGCCCTAAAAGCTAATAAGTTGTTTGGTATCTTTGGTCTTGTTATGTTTTCTGCTGTGCCTTGCTTCAGGAATTAAATAGCTGGTGTGGGACAGTGCATGCTTTACTGGTCTCCCATTGTTAAAGACTTGTGCAGTAAAATTTCTTTATCCGCCTCTTCCAGATGCAAGCGTGAAGACAGAACCCTTATCACCAGCCACTTCAAATTGTTCGGTCCCTTCTCCGTTGTCTGCGGACTCTCCAGTGCAGAATGTGCCTGTATGCAGAAACCTCCATGTAACACAGATAGCAGTACTCATTCAGAATCAGCTGTGACAAACAAAAAGCCCACTGATTTACTGTCTGACCAACTTCATGGCATAAGAGGAAACAGCTTATTTTTCCAACCCTTGCAAAAACAACTTCCCTTCAGTGATGTTTTCCTTCCTCTCCTGCTGTAGCCCATTCTAAAAAGAGCATGTTTGGTTCTGTTTCCTCAGTTGTGTGTATTGGCCTGGTTGCCAAACAAAATGCCTTCTAAAAGTTGCTGAGTAGCAGTTGCTGGCCTCTGCCCCCCTTCGCTCTGCTGATAAGGAGAGGTACTTCTCTGTTTTTCAGCGGTACTTAGCATTGACCAGAATAAAACTGCAGAACAAAACCTTTCTCCTGTTTGCTGAAGCAGCAACACAGATGTAAATAAAGGCAGTTATACTCTGAGCTGCTAGTAGATACTTTTAGGTGTTTCTGAAGCATTAGTCTCATGTGCTTTCTGTCTGCAGGATGATGTGGACTTCAGCTGTAGCTCCCAGATGTCTCCCATCTCTCTCTACAGCAAGAGTTGCAGAAGCCCTGCATCCCCTGAAGGAGATGGAGGGAAGAAGCCTGCTGTCAGCGTCACTTCTCGGTCCGGTATGAGATCGAATTACTTTGATTCTGCAGCTAGTATGCATGTTGTCTTGCGTATGGATGTTTAACTAACAAAGGCTAGTAAATCCTGTAATTTCTGACTTGAATTTGTGATCAGATATGTCTTTTTAACAAAAATTATAGATGGGTTAAAAAAACCCCAAAAACAAAGCCATGTTATTACTGCTTAAATATTTAATATCTTTAGGCCCAACTCTGACTCTTCTTCCTTTCGTAGCAAATAATTCTGCGAGGACCCTGAAGAGGTGTGGTCAGGCAGTGTCCAGGCCTTCAATACAACCCAAACCTCTTTTGCCTGCTGTACCTGAGGCTCAGGCTAACATTGGCATCCCAGCTAAAACCATCATTATTCAGGCTCTTCCCACACTTGTGCCGCTGCCAAAGCATCAGCCAGTTGTTAACATCCAGCCAGCACCCCCTAAAGGTAAGTGAATTGTCATAACGGAGCCAGGTCTTTGCGGTAATGTCTGTTTGGGATGGTCACAAGAATGAAGTTAGCTTTGGCAGATGAAATGGGAGGGGTAGGAAAAAAAAAAGAGGTGTGCTGCATGCTTTGCTGAAAAGGCTTTAGGCTGAGAAGCTGGCCTTATGCCTCTCTCGTATAGTCCTATGAGGAACAGCACTTGCCTGGGCATCGTGTGGAATGGAAGACAGTATAGCAAAACAGACTATGCTGAGCTCTGGCAGTTGTGGAGACAGAACTGTTGATCTGGAAGAGTCTCTAGGGACCCTTTGCTCGGCTCTGCTTGTGACGGCAAGTGCTGCATAAGGTGATCACAGTGCTGTTCTGTCGTAACCAAGGGAAGATCCAGCACAATCAGTTGGCTTGGCTTAACAAAGTTTGAAAGCTTAGGAGGAGTGATAAAAGCTTTTTTTTTTTATCCACATGATATTCTGCCACAGGATGGTGGGAAAATGAGTTTATGGCTTTTTATCTCGCTAACAGCATTAAATAGGATGTTGTGAAATCTACTAAAAGTTGAGAGCGCCATGTTAGAGGTTAGAATAGTTGCTTACAGCTGTAAGCTGTAACAGGAGGCACGTGATTTCCTGTCCACTGATAATTCTTCATTCCTCCTGTTGACCTGTAATAGATTTTTGAAGTACCTTGAGCCTTCATTTCTGAATCCAAAGCATTGTTTTACTCTTCAGCTAAGGCAGTGGGGACATTACTTGCATTGCTGAAATCGTCAGATGCTGTTGCTCCTTTTCACCAGCTGATGGCTGCAGTCTCTTGCAGTTGATTGTACAGGCACTGAGGTGTGGAAGGAAAAAGAGGCAAATACTTAAGGGCATGTATCTAGAAATTATTGCAATAGTGAAAAATTTGTCTTCATTACTAATTGCTTTTCCATCAGGAGTTAAGCCAAAGCTGGAGACGCTGAGTTTTGTTACAACATGCCTGAGATTGTTAGACAGCTTAAAACGCAGATCAGCACAGTCAGCATGACCTAATTTTTATTCCTTCTGATGTTCCAGCTGATAAAATACCATCTGGAATAAGGAATGTTGGGGATATGGATTTTTTGGATATAAATACAGTACTGTGAAGATCAGCTTCTCCTTTTCCTGAAGAAAAGTCAGGAGAGTAGTTTCTGTGAGGCACTATAGAGGAGATACTTTTGAGAAAGTATTTCCATGCCATGGACTTAACTGATGATCTGTTTAAAAATTCCATAGTGCCTCTTCTATAACAAAAACCATAAGGATCTTTTTTGTTAACCAACATCCCCTGCACATGATAAGGTGGAGTTACCACCTTGAAATATACCATTATCTTCAATGGATCATGAGGAATGATATTTTTACAGTGCCTCTCGTAAAAGCTTAAAGAAAGCATGATTTTCGAGCATCACATACTTTATGCATTAAAAAAAATTGTTGAAATAATCTCAAATTCATTATTTGAGGTTCTTAAATAGGATGGTACTAACTTACGATGTCTTCAAGATTATCTCTGAGAAGAAGGAGATCTAATCCTACACCTCATATACATAACAGATCTTGGCACTACGTAAATTACTTCATTTTCCACCTTCCAGGAGGTTGGGTAAATCCTGTAATACATTGTCGTGCATTTTGGTTGGAATGCTCAGCTGGAACGTGCTGTTTCTGAAAGCTGGCAAGGTCATCCTGTTACAAAGGATTAAAGAGACATTCATGTGTTTTCAGACAACAAAATATTACTGAAGCATCTGCTTGAGTTAAATGTAGTTGTTGGACTGAAATGTCTTGGAAGTGACTGTTTTTAATTCCATTGCAAACTCTGTCAAAATTACCTCATTTTTTCTGCTTGCTTTTCTTTAAGCTCTCTTCAGCTTGTGCATAAAATTTCTCACATAGGACATTTTTCAAAAAAATTGATCTGGCCTTAGTGTGAATTGAGGCTTTAACTTAGGCTTTGAAAGTGTAACTTGCATTGTTCTTTCTCGTTCAACTTCTTTCTCTGCTCTGAATTGATGTTTATGGTATGAGTCACTTCTGTGTAGTAAATTTTCCACTGAATACAGCAATAAAGTAGGGATGGACAAAAGGGAGAAGGATTGAGGTAAGCTGGCTAAGTTCTTTTAAAAAATTGCTCAAAGTGCATCAAGCATTAGCAATACTGAAATGAATAATGTTTCTAACAAGTGTTGACTTTTATTAACTTTGAAGAGCTTTTAGGAGAGAGCTTGCTTTCTTGGATCCACTTAATATGTCTAGTTTTAGTTTGCAGGACAGATTAAGAGCCTTGCAAACTTGTGAGCTTCTTTTTTTTTCCCTTCTCTTTCCATTCCTATCCTGTTGAATATACTAATGCAGAAGAATTGGACTTGAGATAAATCGTGTGGGGCAGGAGAGGAAGCAAGGCTTTCTATCTCCTATTGTCAGTATTCCGCTACAAACCGGTCACGTACAAATCCATGTTGTATCAGACACTGAGCACTCCTGTTTGTTCTTGTGTCCTAGGTCAATCAGTGGTGCTCCCCCAGCCTGCTGTGGTACAGCTCCAGGCTTCTGGGGTGCTTCCTGCCTCCCAGCCAGTCATTGCTGTCACTGGAGGGACCACGCAGCTTCACAATCATACGGTGAACGCATTGTCTCCAGCTGCTGGAAATGGCTCAACAAGCGGCAAAATACCAGTGACTAAGCCCTTGCTTCAAAGCACCACACCAGGGATGGGGCTGGATGTAAGTTCTGACTGTGCGATGGTAGCTAGTAACAAACCTTGGAAACAGTTTTCTGTTACCTGCATGTGGGATATAATGGGAGAACCAGGTCACTTTAGAGTTTCAGGAAGGCAGAGCTGTAGTTGGGCTTGTCTGATAGGATTTCTAACAGTAAGCAGGGAATTCGGCAACTTGGCAAAGAATGGGGAGGAACAGCTTGATATCTGCTGGCCTGTCTGGAGTTGCAGACCAAGTAGGCAAGCATTGTGGCAGAAGACAGTGCTGATATATTTTTTTCTTTCCTATGCTTGTCTTCTCAACTGCAAGCTCTCAATGGCTGGAGCTCTCTTACATACAGGAAGATTTGATATATCTGATTTTTGATTAGTGCTAAACCATTTTTCTAATCCATATAATAAAAACACCCCTTTGGAAGTAGATTAATTGGAAATGTCAGCAGTAGGCCTGATTCTTTTTCCATCCCCTTTATCTCCCCAGATTTTACTTAGGATTTTTTGAACTTTCAGGTATTGAGTTTCATTTTCTAATCTCTTCAGGCTCCCTTTTGATGATATACTGAATGAGTAGAAAAGGGGTAAGCTCTGAACAGTCACTATGCAAATAAGTAAGTTTTTCCACAGTAGCTCACAGTAAGCAGTATGTGTAAACAGAAATGACTTTTGAGGTGTGGGGGTTATTTTTCCTCTGTCAGCTTTGACATCTTAAGGAGCTAGCAAGCTGGGTGTTAACTTGATTTAGTTCCTAGCAGTGTGGAGCTGTTGTCCAAAGGAAGGCATGGTTATGGAAAGTACCGAAGCTTCTTGTTTGTGGCTTTTAAACTCTCAGGGTGTCATTCTCCAGTGTGGTATTCCAAGTGCAGTTGTCGTGAGCTGAGAGTCCAATGCATCTCTCAGCGTGAGGGAGAAAACACTGTGAAATTTTGCAGTATAGTCACCTACTTATTAGCAGTGCAGGACACTGTTTCTCAAAGGCATGTGCCTTCTGGCTGCTTTGGAGGGATGTTGTTCGGTTTCCTAGCATCTGACAATTGCCACTCATGCTTGATGTTAAATTTTCCTCACTATTCATGTTTGCATGTGGGCTGAATTTTTAAATGAAAAATTATTTGCTACAAATAATTCAGTAGCCAGACTACAATGGAAACCTGATTTTGAATTTGCAAGAAGCTAACAGAGGTCTGTCAGTGTACAGACCAGTTAAGAGCGCTGCATTGTTAAATGTTAATTGCCTGCCATGCAAAGCTAGACTGAAGAGGCCTGTCAGCAGCCCTTAGATTTGTGACTCCCTGTAATCAGGACTAGCATGGCACCTTGCCATTGTCTGAATAAAAGGTTTAATTGACAAAACCCCTCTTATTGTCATCTCACTTCACATATGCATCTGTGACGGTCAGTAGTCAAATGTGCAGCTGGGGTAATGTATAGCTGTTTGTTTTGAACGATGGTTGTGTGCGTATTTTGGCCTGAAGCTGTTTTAGGGAGGCAGTTTTAAGACTTGGTATTGGCCTAAATGCTGCACATCTTACCTGTGTTTATTGAAACTTGATAAAACAGTGGCAACTGCTCTTTGGCACGTGCTGTGAAACAGCACTTTGAAAAAGAACAAATGTTTCGGGATGCAGCTGGCGCCAGCAGGGTTAAAACATCTTGCAACTGCCGGAGATGCCATATGTGGCACTCAGAGCTGCACAGATGTAGCTGTCATTTGAGCTCAGCAACACGTGTTTTTGTTTGCTAATCTAAGCAGATGTTGCAGGATAAAAAGAAACACTGCAGGACTTTCTTTTGAGCTTAGGAGGGATAAACTGTTAGCTTAATGCTCAGCCCTTCCAGTGGATTAGACTGAGATCGGCTGATAGCAAGCTGTACGCGTGAGGCCCTGTGTTGTGCGTGTCCTGATGGCATACATTTGCACAGCAGCTGATAGCAAGCTGTATGCGTGAGGCCCTGTGTTGCGCGTGTCCTGATGGCATACATTTGCACAGCTTGCCAGCCGTGGGGAAGTGCCAGGCTTTCAGTGCGGTCACTCTTCGCTAGGAAACCGGTGAAGGACTTTCCACAAGGAAACTGGGCAAAAGAAATGTTGTCTAAGCAAACCACTCTTCCGGTTGAAGGAAAGAGGCTCTTAACTGAAAAAGCAGATTGCCTTTCCTGTTGCAATTAAATGATATGAGGATATAAATGGTAGGTGTGTGAGGGAGTCTAGTTTAGTTGTGTCCTTAGAGGGCTTTTCTCTCATGTTTCTACTCTGTAGTGAGAAAGGATAAAAATTACTGAAAATTTAGAGAAAATATTACACAAAATTACTTCAACATAAATGTGGATTTCTGTTAGAGTCCTGTTTTCTGTGCTGTGCATTGGGTAATTTTCGTATGAAATAAACTCATTAGTCAAGTTGTGTTCCGTTGATTTGAGACAAGAAAACCCAGATCTTTCATAAGAACAGAGAAGATACTTGCATAGGTTTTGTATTCCCACATTTAAGGTGCGTCTTTGAAGATAGCAAAGGTAAGAAGCCAGCCAATATAAAGTTGAAATGGTATGTGCTTTCAGCTCTTTGTTAACTTTCCCAGTGTGTGTACCAACAACTCTGTGGAGTGTGAGACACATTCTTACCACCTTGTGCTAGAAATACAGCTTATGTTGGAATGGAGTTTAAGTTTTGCTCAGAACTGAGTTTTCTTTGGAACACTAAATTGAGGTAGCAGTGTTTATTTGTAAAGTGCATGACTCTTTACAAAGACTCTGAAGACAGAGGACAATCTGAATCTAGTTAGTACTGTTTGAAGCAAGGTTTGGCAATGAACCCTTCACTTCTTTATATTTACAACACTCTGTGTGTGTGTGTGTTAGTGGTGGTGTAGCATTTAAAGCTAGGAAGCAGAAGTTGGATCACTGAATAACTTTTGATTGCAATGCCAATGTTTTCCCTTTATGGTCTGTGTTTCCTGAGATCGAGAAGCTACTATCTTGAGTGGTCAATTAATACAATACAACCTACAAAAGGCGAGGCTGCAAAAGAAGTTAGCAGAAATGTTTGCTACGTTTAATCTTTGTTCAGCACTTGTGCAGAGCAATGTTGCTCAAGCAGTCTGACATTATAAATTAGTTCCTCTCTCCCTTCTGATTATCAAAATGGTCAAGCAAGGGGCATGTTTATCTTGATGCCGAGCCAGCTATGTAATGCTTAGTGCCATGCTGCTTCCAGATTTAAGCATTGCTGCACTATTTCACTGACACAACTCTTTGTTTCCTGCATCAGATTTAGGTAGGACCAGGTGTGCAGTTGTGGCTGATTCCCCAAGAAAAGCCAGGCAAGGACTAGAGGCTTGACCAAGGACCTTAAACTGTTTTAGGGATTATCAATTAAAACAAAATAACCCAAGGACAGGAATAGTTGGGTTTCATTTAAGCAAGCTGAAGAAATGAACGGAAGTGAAACTGGTGTGGCATAGACTGAAATGTAGTTATTGCACAGAGTACCTTGAGTCAGACTGGGGAGAGCTGGTGTTCCTGACAGCGTTTGGAGAACACTGAGTAAAGAAGGACAGTGTAGAAAAATACCATCTGAAAGGTAGCCGGTAGTGTCTGAAACAGCGATAGATGTACCTGAGGATGTGCTTTTAGTGTACAAACGCCGCACTGGTGCATTAACTCCATGTTTTCTCCAGGGAAGCAGGTAGGTTTGCCAGAGGTTCCAGATACTTAGTCAAAAGCTATCCAGTAGTGAATAATCCTGAGCAGGTCTGCAAACAAGAATGGATGTAAACAATTTGGTCTCTGACTTCATGATGCAAAACTTCTTTTTAAAAAGAGGAATGTAACTACTTGTTTGGAATATCATACAACTCAAGCCAAAGCTGCTGCATGAACTCATTCCCTATTATTTCATCTCTGGACAGTTGAAGTGATCTTGGCCCCAAATTGGTGTGTTCTATACACTGCAGTCCTTGGCTAGCCTGCATAATTTTTTTTCCAAAGTTTTTATATGTCTGCAGAAGTTTTCTTACGTTAAGTATTGTAGTACTTAAAAAATTCAAGACAAAGCTTAGTGTTAATGAAAATATGTTAAAATCTTTTCCTTCTCCACTCTCTGCTCAAGAGAGAAACTAGAGTAAGTACAAACAGCTTCACTTTCACAGACTTTTGTTGGTGGCAGCAGACTAGACATATAATAAATGATCTTCACAGAAAGCAATTAGATCAACATGGAGACAGCCCAAAATGTTAATGCACTGTAACGTATTTTCTTAGTCTTTGTCACCAGACTGCGGTATCCTGAAGAAGAATGACTTCCTCAAACAGCCTGTAGCCAATTTTTCTTGCAGACACCAAAGCCCTAGAGCAACATATTGTCTGTGTGCGGGTATATACATGGAGAGAGTTGGAAAGCTATGGTTCGGATTCTTTAAGCAGACAGACCTTAACTGGAGCACACTGTCTGAGTTCATTAATGTTACTGTTCTGCGCCTTGTTTATTTTTTTCCTAGACTGATAGTTCTAGATTAGTTCTCATCTTTTTTCTTTAGCTTTCATGCTCTAATAGATACAGCTTACTCCAGCGCATGTGTTGGTAGCTACTGGAGGATATTCAGGTCTGTGTAAGATACATCATTCAGTTCTTTTTCAGTGTAAACATCATTAAGGCACATCCTGCTGTAGCTTAATAATGTGATGAAAGTCTTCTGGTTTTAATAAAAACAGAGTTGCTGTTGCTCATCTGTGCGGGAAAGGAAATCAACAGAGTTGTGTTTAAACTTAGGATTTCAAGTAGTTTTGTATAGCTCTGCAGTATCGATCATCGTTATCCTTGTCAGTGGCAAGATGCTTTCAGTCTGGGTCATCCCACTCAGTGCAAACCACAAAATGAGTAAGTGGTAAAAGATGATAGACTGTTCCTGTTTGGGAAACAAAATCACAATCATCAAGACCGTTGGAGGATGGGGAGGGGTTATCTTGAACTGTCTCGGACTGGTCTTGTGGACTGAATGCCTGCTAGTGGTTCGAGTGAATTGTGTGCTCTCCTGGAGTATATTTGCTGCTTTAGCTTCATCCAGAAGGAATCCAGTTTGTGTGGTCTATCAGAGACTGTTCTGTGATGTGAACCAAAGCATATGGACAATCAGGAAATGTGCATCAAAGCCACACTCCTGATCTGAGTTAGAATGCTAATATAGATGCACCCAGAGACTGCATTTAAACTGCCATGTAAGTGCTTGATATAGCATGTGCAATCTGAGGTCAGCAACAGTATTCAAATCTCAAAAACTATGTAGCAGAGCTGGACAGGGTACAGAAACAGGTGTAATCAGTGTGGAAATGGCTTCTATGCAAGGCAGGCTAAAAAACCATAGGACTCTCCAGTTAAGAAAACAGATGACTGATTGTAGCCTATAAAATGGTGTATTGTAAAGCGAAGGTGAAATTAATTCTTGGTACCTTGCAGACCTGTAGATGTGTATTTTCTGTCTTCGTGATTTGATTGGTCAAATCAAACTGCTGCTCAAGTAATACATTTTGTGTCCCCTACACATAGAAGGTTGAGAATGCAGGAGAAAACAGAGCACAGGACATGTTGTTCCATTACCCGTGTGCTATAGCTCTTGGAGGTGTACCGTGATTCCTAGTTGCCTCTGTGCTGAACATTTCAGCTCATTTGAAGCGGAGTGCGGGAAGCTATCTATGCAGACTTTTGACAAAGTAGAGGAGCAGAAATTATGCATGAAATAGAGGCACTTTTAATTTGCAGATCATTAACAGGCCTCCGTATCGTCTGTCCAGGTCAATGTCTTGAGAAGGCAGCAGCGCATGATCAAAAACCGGGAGTCAGCCTTTCAGTCACGGAAGAAAAAGAAAGAGTACATGCTGGGACTGGAAGCAAGGCTGGAGGCGGCCTTACTGGAGAATGAGAAACTCAAGAAAGAAAACAACACGCTGAAGAGGCAACTGGATGAAGTGGTATTAGAGGTAAGAGATTGTGGTGAAGATCTGACTTTATATAAAGGCAGTTGCTCAGGTGGAAGGCACTTGAACAGGATCATGGAAATGTTGACTGGAAGACCTTTGGGAATTTCTAGTCCGCTGTCCCACTCCGAGCGGACTTTCACCAACTCCTGGTCAGGACAGTGGTTGTGGTATCTAGTTGACTTTTAATTCCTCATTTAGGGGGAATGCTCAGATATCACTGAGAAGATAGACTGCATAGAAGCTGAATATAATGTACAAACAAAAGAGGTTTAATTTTAAGTAGTCCTGGGGTGTATTCATACATAATTAGGGAAGTATAAATCTAAAAAGCAAGCATGATTTGGTTTATTTAAGTCCTGACATACCTTTGCATGTCTGTGCCCCCTTTTTATTGTATGTCTTCTCTGTTTTTTCCTATCTAGAACCAGAAGCTCAAAGTATCATCTCCAAAGAGAAGGACCCTGTGTGTGATGGTGATACTGGCTTTCATCATGTTGAATTATGGTCCACTGAGGTAAGCTGCCTAGGAATTCCTCTTTGGATACCAAGTTTGCTGGCCTGCAATTTTTGTTTGAATCTTTAATACAGGCTGTTTTGTGCTTTAAAGCCTTGAGCTTGAAACCTGACTTCTGTCCTTTACTCTCCTCCTGCGTAGGGGAAGACTCATCTGTATAATGGTTCCTTTTTTGGAATCCTTATAGCAACAAGAGATGGATCTTGTACTTCTGAATTTTCTTGGCTTGGCATTTTGTTGATTAGTGCAGCGTACAGCAGTTTGTCTGCTCCATTGATACCTGAAGAGAAAAAAGAGCTGTGTTTAGAATCCTTTTAGGAAAAAAAGCCAGACTTTAAGAGCTCATCTGTTTGTTTATACCGGTGCTAATCTCAATGGCTGTGAGTTTAAGCTGCTTCTAGTACCCAGTGCAGGAAATCCCACTGTTTGTTCCAGTGCTTTGCAGTCCTGGCCATTAGATACGGCTAGCTGCAATCTTCCTCATTACAGTGTAAGCTCTGTATTACTTGTCTTCTAGATCCAGTGAAGAGGTGGTTCCCTCTCCTTAGTTAGTCAAAATGGAAATCAAAAACCTCCCTTGTTCAAACTGTTATCAGTGAAGATAAGTAAGAACCAGTGAGCAGGAAGGAAATGCTGCATTACTTCCCAGACATTTTATAAGGAAATCTGTGGAAGAGAGGAGACTAAAAAGGAATACTTCTTGCACATATCTGTCTATTTAACCTGTCTTTGGAACATAAGGACCTTTTATGTGAAGCCGTTCACTTTTTCAAAAGGGGAGGATATTTCAGTAGTTTCCCAGTGTCTCCATTTGTCCTCAAAACCCCAGTCAAACTGAAGGAATGGGATGGGATAAATCTGGAAACTTTGTTTCTGACTATGATAAACTTTTACAATGTTGGTATTTGTATTTTTAATAATAGTAGAAAATTTGCTAAAGCTGAAATTACTTTTGAAGTATTTGCACTTACTGGGAATACTGGTTATCTCAGGCAGTGAAGAACAGCTGATAATTTTATTTTGATATGGGTGATTTTAAGGTAGACAATTTCTTAGTGCATTTAGGGATTTGTATTAGGATTTTTGACTATCAGGCAGAAAAATAATCTTTTAGATACTCAGCAACTGATTTGTACATCCCATCTGCATTTGCAAACGTTACTGCTCACTCAAGAGATACTGTTCTTGGTGAGAACTAATAGGACCAGTAATCTTTTTGAAGCTGGAAGAAATGTTAGTTGCCTCCACATTACAGTGAGGACTTGGAATGCATGAAGCTCTTGTTTTGAGAGGCTTGGAAACGTACAGAAGACGAGTGGGCAGTCTTTTCCCACAGTGCACTGAAGTTCCTCTCTCAGCTTCTCTGCCCCCAGGAATGAGTAAGGTGTTGAGCTTGATGGCAAGAAACTGCAGTCAAAGTAGACTGAAAGGTCAGTTCGTGTCCATATCTTTGCAACAATCAGTAACTATAGAAATGTGACAGCGTTAATTTCTTGGCCTGTTCCATGTTTAATATAGTAGATAAAAAGAAATTCTTGGATGTTTGGCTGAGCGTGCCACTGTAATCATTGTGCCTGAACTAGGTGGTCTGCATCAGTACTGGATTTAGGCAGTGAGGAGAAATGTAATTGCAAATTTGCCAGGAATTACTCTTATCTTTCTGGTTTGGGGTTTTGTGGTAGATTGTTGTTGTTGGATCCCCCCTTTTTTTTTGTTGGGTTCCCCCCCCCCCCCCAGAATTGCACTGCAATTAAAATGCTAGACTGTATCAAGGTGGTGTGAATGTTGATTGTGCAATACCCTTTGGAAGGCCCAGAATGTGGGATACACAAACTGTTATTTAAGATTTCAGTCCTCCCGTATGCATTTTCTTCCTTTTATAGAGGTGTCACTGAATGATAGCTCCACAAACGTGATAGTCATGATTGCTGTTCTGCTTAGTCCTTAACAACAGAAGCTTCCAATACACAAGATCTTTTTCAGTCCTTGCAACTTCTTACAGAAATAAGGACTTTTTTTAAATTATTATTAAAATAGCCATGCTAGCTTATAGTTCAGCAAAAGTACTTATTCCCCCAAGGTAGCCACCTGTGGAATAACTGATTTCTATGCAGCGGTCAACTGGTGATAAGTCTGATTTGAAACTTTGTGACAGTGTTGCCATTTCTTCTATGCGGGAAATCATTTCACTTGCACACCTGTATGGAGGTATGACAGCATTCAGGCACAGGATGCTTTGATTCAAATGTATTAGCAGTGAATATTTTATTATTTAAAACCAATGAACCATTGCAAAGAGAGAGTGACATCCAAAAAAAGCAAAAATGTGGGAATTTCACCTCCTAAATTTTGTAGCAGACTTTGAAATTCCCTTAGCTGGCCTTATTGTAAGATGCTTCTTAATTTCTTAATCGGCAGTGATAAGATTCTTTGAAGGCTAGAGGTAAAACAAAAGAACAGACACATAGGTTTTCTCTTTAGCTGCCTATTTCAGTCAAATCGGAGAAGGCAGGGAAGTGGTGGGGTTGTTTGGGGACAGGGATGTGAAGCTGAAGGACAGGCAGTCCTGCAAACCCTTCATGGTCTGCAGCAGGTCAGCAGAAGTGCAGCGCAATGTTTGGGCACTCGGCATCCCACGAAAAACCATCTGGATGGATGGCTGCGTAGTTAATTCTGTGTTTTCTTCTGCATTAGTGGATATGTGTTGTAGTAGCACTGGTTCATACATAATTTTGGTCTTATGTCTTATTGACTGTGTACATAAGTGGTGAAATGTTTGTGGTGGTTCATGGAGAACTTTGGGCTGTGCTGTTCTGCTGCTTTAGGATTATGAGAAGCAGTCCAGGATGTGGCAGCCCTTGGCAAACAAGTTTAACAGATAAAATTATTCTGCTGACAAATATACTATGTGTATGGGTAATCCGTAACATTGACCATGGGAATATGAGAGTGGGGCTGAAAGTCTGGTAGGGAAGCTAGCTTATTGACCCAAGAAATCTGTTTGAAAATACTGGAGGAAGAGTCTAGTGCAGTCTGTTTAATTGGCAACAAGCTTTTCACAACATTTCTCAGTCTTGGAAATAGCACCATGTTATCTCTGATAAAAAATGTAAGTCGAATTAAGTATAAATAGAATGTAAACGTGAATTGAATACTTTCTGGTCATGGAAGTGGCTTGTATAGAGTTAATGGTAACTCTGCATTATATTGTACTGTGTTACTAAATCCTTTTGGGTTTGTTGATATTTGTATAGAAAACTGAAACTTTCAATTATTAAAAGCAGAAGTGATTTAGCAGGAATTATATTGGTGTAAGTTTCTATGTCATCTATTTGCTTTACATTAGAAGAAGGGCGTCCAGGAGTTTCCCATCTGTGTGTCAATGAACTATTCTCTAATCTTTATGAATTATTTGGATTTGGATTTAACATCTATAAAAATTTCCTTTTGTTATTATTTGAGAATGATTGGTGAGGTGTATGAAGGGAAAAGGGTACATTTTGATTTAATTCCTTGAAGAGGTCACCCCCTTGCCCCAGTCTTACATACCATGAGGTGCAAGACAGGAATTGGCAACCCACCACGTTTGCACAAAAGGCAGGGAGCGCACAACCTTGGCAGGCAGCAAGGTTGGGAGCTGGAACCGGGACATCTGGAGGCAGGTATCTGTGGGAGGCAGCGTCTCCTGCCTTTGCGATTACCTTCTGTGAGAGCCAGTGTTGGTCAGCACAGCTGCATTCTCAGCTGGCGTGGCACCTCTGAAAGATTGCTGACTTCTGGCATTACGAAACATCTAATCAGTTTTGTTTGTTTTTTTTTTTATCACCTACAACATGAAATCTGAAAATTTTCAGGCTGTTACAATTCCTAGATGCCTTTTTTTCCCCTTGTTTAATTTCCATATTTGTGTTACTGTGCCTGGGTACTAACCAGATCTGAAAATGTGTTAAACAAGCACAATGTTGAAACAAATGGAAACCAAGCACATGTTGTAGTCTAAACAATCCCATGTATTTATTTTGGGAATCCTTTTCCTATGTTTCTCTTCCCTGATCCCATTTGAATACAAATTGTCTTGTGTGTTTGTTTTTTTAAATACAAGTCCTACATGTGATAGTAAAGTATTTGCAGGAAGCTAACCCAACTAATGTATAAAAAGTAGGGAAGGGAGAAGGATCACTGAAGATGCAAAAGGTAAGTTTTCTGCATCTCTGCTTCTTGGAGCAGTAGCAGGCAAAGCATGTAAACCAGGTACTTGCTAGTGGCCCTAGCATTGTTTTCCTAGCTATGAAAAATATTGAAGTAGTTATTTGTTCCCCGTAATCAGTCTGCTCAAGCTTACATGGTGGTCATCATCTTACAACAGTCTTAGAGCATTTAGAAAGATGTCACACAGTTAAGAATGTGTCTTAACTACCATTTCAGATATTTAGTGGACAGAAAACAAATATGAAGTTGGAGAGAGGAAAGGCAGATCTGCTAAGAGATTGGAACAGGAGTTTTGAGGAGGTGATGTGATTTATTTTTTTTATTAATTTTGTTTTTTCTTATAAATTGGCCGTCTCTGTATGGCTGGAACCCCTTTCAAACTGGAAAACAGACTTGATGATGTAACCAAAAATTCTTAAGCTGTATTTGTGGTGGAAGGTGACTGAGGTGGTGATTGATGGAGCTAAGTAAAGCTGGTGCTTCACAGTCTCTTGTGTCCTTTTGACCTACAGCAGCTGTGCTAGAATTGCCGGCCTTTTGTAGAGACTTCATCGCAGCTCCTCTCTTGAGTATCCTGATGGGTTTTCCTGTACTTTCCAGGACTATCCTGGAAACTGAATAATCTATTAAAAATTTAGATCCACTGAGCAATCTGCAAATAAAGACACCAGACTGAGTAGCTGAGAAGCATGATTTTTCTGCTATTGTCGTAGACTGCAACAAATGGAGAAGCAGTGATTTTTGACTCTTGAAAGACTTAGGGGTGTGTCCTATTTCTTAGATTGGTAACA